CAGTGTCTTTAAACTTAGGTTCTCCGAAAATACAAGGCAATGTTTAAAAACGACCCGAAATATGTTTGGGCAAATAATACTGGCAGAAATATCTTGTGTAACGAACTTCTGAGGCTTCAAAAAGTTACTGTGTTCCCTCCTTCTGATTCGAATTTGATCCCAAGGAAAAAATAAACGAAACGAAAACAACGAAAACAAAATTAGAAAGATAAAAATGATTACTGCAAAAACTATCATTTCTACTAACTGCAAACAACATTAACAGCTGTCTGATAAATGGATGTTGTGCATGTGTTGTTTGGTGATAACAACTTTTCATCTTCTGTCTCAATCATACGATCCTATTTGTCAAATACCCCACAGTGAAATACATAGTTGAAAGATGTACCTAATAACCAAAGCCTTCTGAAAATAGAAAAAATGCTTTTGTGGCCCCTTGATGCCAGCCAAAGGTTGTTACCTAAACGTCTTCAAATATAATACATTTTAAAACCAGGAAGTGATATCTTTACTGAACGTCGCATAAATGTTAATAATCGGTTTCAGTTTCTTCTGAAACTTAATCAAATACAAATCAATGTTAGATACGAATCACGTTAAAATGCCTTGTTGTTTTCTATAAGCATTTGATACTTTAGTCACAAGAGTCAGAGTAAAGCCAACCCATACTTAAATTTATGTTTAGATTTCAAAGGAAATAAACTGTTCCTTAACCCAAAATCAACAAGGTTTTGTAAGCAGTATTATATAGTATGTTCTTTGGTGCATGAAATATACCGTTAAAAATGTCAAAATCAAAGTTAAGGATAACTGCATGTTTTGCTAGTTTGCAAGGGGTTATTTTTCGGACTTATTATGTAACAGCGACACAATTTACATTGTGCTATTATTTTGAATACCCTTCAAATGCGTTATATATTCTGAAAAGCTACTTATTCATGTTCAATAATCTGCTAGTTTGGTCACTGATCTATGTTGGTGTTTATCTTTGATTTTTATTCCTAACTTAAATAAAAAATCCGACTGGACGTTTTTGTAAGCGGTAAATCTGCTAAAATATCTTACTTTATTCCTAAACATTACAGAAGAGTGAAAATCGCAGTTAAGAATCATATATTGTAAAGATGAGAAATAACATAAATAGAGTATTATGACAAACAAAAATACTGTTCTTTCTTTCAAAGTAACGTAGATATATAAAATAAATAATTACATATTGACATAAAAAATTATAATAACATAAACATGTATTTTAATTGGCGCTTAATATGGATGCTGCATAAATACAAATGAATGATATTATACAAGAAAAATGTTGTGGTCAATCTTTATTAATAAACTATCCTATGTTTATTTTAAGCGAATTAAGGTATACACGCGACAATCTTAGATTTTAGATAAACAGCGTGATATTATTGGTAAAGCTTTTAATCTCTTCTGCCAACACTTCAAATATATATATTATAAATATAGGTTTAAAATTAATCCATAAAATGTTTTAAGATTTATCTTTATTGACAGCTTTACTTATTAAGACTTGTTAGAGCGTGCAATGTATACGTTTCAGATGATATGGCTTTATTCTTATTATTAATTTAAGCTACGGAAGAGCATTAGTGCCAGGTGTATGTTTTTTACTAACTCGAAATTTTGACTTACTTACCCGAAATTTCGAGTTACTATGTCGAAATTTCGAGTTAGTATGTCAAAATTTCGAGTTAGTAAGTCGAAAAGTACTTGAAATTTCGAGATAGGTAACTCAAAATTTTGTGTGAGTAACTCGAAAATTCGAGTTACTTACTCGAAATTTCGAGTTAATAAAAAACGACTATAAGAAAAAATGTATTCATACGCTTTAAAGATATTTATAGCTGTTATAACTTTAACATGACGAAACCGCTGAATATACGATTTGCCTGAACTACTTTTTTATCAAAACTGGAGATGATTTATTTGAAATGGCATGCTATGTTTTAAGGTGTACACTACTTCTTTTCGGGAAGTCAATGCTGTGCATTCGCCATCAGAGGAAGGGACACAGGAATATTCTTTTTGATGATATACGATAACAGTTATACATTTTCTGAAGACATAGTGTTTCTCAGATTTCGATTACAGTAAAACTCACTCCTTTTATTTCAGTTTCATTGTTAATTAGCTTATTTCCTAGCTGATTGAAGGACTCGTTTATCATTCATACAATTTCTTTATAGATTAATGAATACAAATTATTTTGTCCGGACTACCGACAACAACAAAGAAGACGCATTTGTCATGTGTTTTACAAGAATTCAGTGTTTACTAAATTTATTTCAGTAGAGACGTCGCTATTTTACGACCTTGGTTTGTTATCTGTTATACTAAATTATCCAATGCCAATTATTTTATGAGCAACCTGTACTTTTCGTACTTTATACCTGGTTGGGTTTTAGGTAATACTGATACTGTTCGGGTAAACTTGTAATTTCAAGCTTTCATAGCAGAAAAAATAATTGGTGATCTACTGTAAGCTAGCTGGGTACCTATGTCTGATAATATGATCAAAAGTCTTTGTTGAGATTCTAAACTACAGCGGTATTAGAATAATAATGTTTTTGAAATCAGCGACCTTAGTATTTCGGCCCATGTAATTTTATCTTTAAATCCTGTCAACCGGAATAGGTGAGTAGATTATACGACAGCGAAGGGTAACATGAGTTTATTCCTTCTAATATATCTTTAAAAAGTCAGAAGTCATCTAAGTATTATCAAATTTGTTTTTCAAGAGAACAAACAATGAAAAGTAATATTCTGATGTAGGATTTTTTTTACATTAACTTTCATACACAAACAGCCAAAAAATAACGAAAATCAATACACGAATACGATAAGATTATCATGAACATACATCTGTAGTATTAAAACTAAACCTATATACTACCAATGTCTCCAGGACGTTTGCATCGTGGAAAGTTGATAAATTATCTATAGATTTATATGTTCTCTAAAAATTAGACAAATTGTTTATTCTTCGACAAATTTCACAGTTCTGATTGAAAGGTTTCATGACACTTTTGTAAATTATCTTTTCTACGAAGAATGTCTCTGTATTTGGTTATGTCATTTCCCAGACGCAGCAAATACTTTACTAGATTAGGTATGTTGGGAAAATTTGCAGTGTAAATGAAAGTTTCAGAGGGAAGTAATTTATTGTAATTTGCTCCGCCTCTTGCAATAAGTATCCAATCCAAATTGTAATTTCGAAAAAACTTTTCTGTAATATAGTCCATACAAAACGAATTTACAAATGCAATATAAAACTTATATTTTTGACTCATTTGCTCTATTGCTGTATTATTCGACTTTGTTTGCTGACCATCTGGGCCGCAACTACCAAATATATCTATATCGGATCCATATCTTATCATTTCGTTTACATAAAACCTCCGTTCACTGGATACTTGACAATGGCTTACAAACTAAACTGCGTTCTTTTCTTTTCTATTATAAATTGAAAGGTCATCTATTTGTAAATTCATTTGTTGACGGAATAAGGCGCCATTAGGAATTGGGATATCTGAATCGAGTCTGTAATGGCAAGACCAATTCATTGTGGTTTGCCAGGATGGTAAATGATAGTCTTTGTTGTAATAATGTTCTGGTGGTTCGGTAGCAGTAAAAATCCACACTTGGTTTGGATTACGGACAGAGTTGTTAGTAGGTTCAATCCCCAATCTTCCGTTTCGAATACCAACATAAAAAATATAGTATTTGCATCAACAACTTTCTTCCGGACACGTGTAAAAATGCAATTTTTATAACTGACATTTTGTATAGATTATTTTTCTCGTTCTTTTTACAAGAAAACTAGGTATGTTGAATAATAGTATAAGCTGTTTCTTGTGAAATACACGTTCATATAACATTGAAATGTTAAACAAATTTTGCTCAAAATACAATGTTTTAAATTTCGTCTTTCTCAACTTATCACTAGTATTTGTTATGTTTTCTGTAAACGCTTCTACGTCACTTCTACTAAACTGGTCAATCATTTTAGATTAATCCTCGAATCATCAAATCAGTTTATACGATAATGAGAAAAACTTTGAATAAACCCAAACCAAACGCAATAACTTTAAATAATTATGCAGACAGTCCGGATTCAAATGCTAAAGTTACACAACTGATTAGTATTTATGACTACTGAGTTTGAGCTTTATCCTTTATTTTTGACGTACAAGTTTAAATAGTTTTATTTAGATATATAAGGTAAATAAAGGTACCTTGACATCAATAAACACAGTATCAATCAAGATATTATCCGAAATATCAGAATAATAAATGACGATTTTTGAATTCGGGGTTGTAGATTTGCAGTGCAAATAACCTGCTTTATTTTAAATTATTAAGATGTATTGATATTAAAGTCTGCAGATAAAGTTGTATGCATCTATTGAAATATTAAGCTATGAGTAAGAGACATGTATCACCTTCCTTACATTTAATCAATTCTAAAAATAATTATTCACTAAACATTCTTTCAAAATGAATTCACCTTGATACTTGGTACACTTTTAAATATACTTTTGAATCAAACGAGCTAACATGCTTTTACTTAATGAAAATATCTTTTGAGCATTGGGTCTTTTCTAATGTTCTAATGATCTGTTGGTCTACAAAATTGATATTTATAATGGGTATTTAACGTTCTCTAGACAAAGATAAGAAATTCAGGGATGTTAAAAACGACAATCTTACATCTCTGTTTTAAAAATATATATTCGAATTTGTGTATAATAGTTTACATTTACTTAATCATATTATCATATTAATAAGGTCACACATTTTTTTCATGAATCACTGTATAAAATCTTATGTTACACATTTCTAAAGGGTTTGTGTTTTTAAATATATAAAATGCACTCAATTAATGTTTAATATAAAGGATATAACAATCGCCATATCAAAACAATGACACAAATTAACCTTGAACATATTTATAAATAAAGATAACCTTAAGATTCAAATTCCATTATTTTCCAGGTAACAACAGGAAACATTTAGGACATACAGACACTTGTAGCATATTAGAATCGAACATGCTTCTGAATGGATTCTTGTAATTTTAAGTAAGTATTTGTTTCCAGTTTAAGATTACAAGATCCTGAAATATTTTGCTGATTAATTTAACAAGTTTTAAATAGTCATTAGTTGTAGTTATACGTTATTTCTTTTCCTTCTTTTAAAGGTTTCGATTCGGATTAATCAGCTGTTGGTTATTACTTGTTTCAACTATTTCTTGCACGTTGCAATGGATATATACAAGAAGCATTACTCTTAATGCCGGTAAGATTGAAAGGTGTGTAGATCATTGAAAATGAAAATATATGTATATATTTTAAATATTAATAACATAAGAACGGTTTGATAATCTTTCATAATTTCGTTTCATATATATTGTAAGCGTATCATATGATAAACTATTCCAATATTCTAAAGATTATGACTCATGTTTACTTATACCTTGTTATATATTCTAAAATCTAAATCTGTTTCAGTGTCAACAAGATTAACAATATAAATATTTATCCAACTAGAAATTATACTATTGAAGATTATAAGCAAATAACAGCTCACGTGCAACAAAGATTTTACGACCTGCAGGTATGAGCATCTAAAAGTTTTTAATTAAGTGTAGTAAAGAGTTTATATTATGACCAGTTTCTTATGTTTCAATAATATATTTTTGATAATGACTTAAGGGTTAGGATTTGATTTTAAAGGTTAACTGTGATCAATAACGACTTTATTTTAATATCGATGTTTGTTTGTGAATTATGTGATGTGCATTTAGTGAAAAAATATGCACCACCTTTTGTCATTTACAGCATTGCACTCGATTTAGCACTGATTTAAATGTAAATTTTCTTGAAACTTTCTAGACTTTGCATATAAAAATTAAGCAATAATCATTCGAAGGTTTCTAACTGAATTTTTTAAAAAGTTTTAAAGACCATATGAAGCGGTAGAAAAGACAATTTTTGTTTTAGTTTCATTGACAAAAGTAAAGTTATATTGAACAATAAAGATAAAATGTGCAATGAGATCGATCTTTAAACACTCGGGGTGCGCAGTTCAAATTCTTCGGACACGGCTATGTACCACCATATTATTTATCACTTTTTTATTTTTGTCAAAAGGTTTCACAATGCCTTTTTCGGTAGGAAATCAATTAGAGAGCTAAGAAACTTTTGTTTTGCAGAATCCATATGATTGCAAAAAAGCAAGGAAGGTGGTATGTGATACTCGAACAAGTAAGTTTTCAGACATATTTATTTGGTATGTGTTAAATATATGGATATACAAGTAGTAATCTATGCAAATACAAGGGCTGTCCGGAAAGTTCGTAGACAAGGCTATAAAATTATCATAAACAGTCATATCAATATAACGATTTATATTTTGCTAAAGTATTTATCTGATAAATATTTCTAAATTAAAAAAGTATAATAAAAGTAATATTCGCAAAGCGCTGGTCACCATGGCAACATGACCAACGAATCACGGAGCACTTTGATTTCATGACGATAGCTTCTCAAATATTAAGTAACTAAAAGTTGTAATTTTAACGCAAACTCTAGTTTTTATTTTGTGACATCATAGGATACTATTACATGATATTTAGTGTAAATTGTGACGTTATACGTAAATAAACAGCTTGTTTACGAAGATTATAGGCAATGAAAGTGCGTAAATTTTGTGCTGCAAAAATGACGTCAAATTCACGGACGGAGTAACGTTATGATATTTAACTTAATAGCAACGAAAATATGGCGCCAACTGAGATTTGAACCTTTTCTTTAAAAACAAAATCAACCATAAAATGTTAAAGGCAACTTGCGTTTAAATGTCAAACAAGATTTAGAAGCATTGATGCTGATATCGTATAAGAAACGCTCCAGGCGACCAAAAATAGCATGGCCGAAATATTGTAGATTGCGTTTCAACAATCTTTGAAAAAAGGCAGGCATCTCACACACTGTTTGGGAACCAGTGACATCTTTCTTTTAAATACTTATTTTAAATATGAAATTCATGAAGTAATAGCAAACGAACATGTACTAAGTATACGTCAGAGAGATACCACGTACGTCACAGTTCAGTAATTTTTAATAGATGTGTTCGCTAGGTGTGTATATTTATGCTGACAAAATTTGTACAGCGTATGTATTGTTTTACAATAAAAAATGAAGATGTGTATGAACTTTCCGGACGTCCCTCGTAAAAGCACAAACTATTTGTTTGAAAATAACACCTAGTCAGCAGTGTCTCATTCATTTTATCGTCTAGGATACTGCAAACGTTTAAACACAACCTTGAAAAAATAAAAGCAGATGCACAAAAACCAAACAATTAAATAGCACAAAGTGAACCATTGAAACGCAAGACTTAAATGTTAAATAGAAGTGTTTAATGCATCCAAAGTTTTTTTTACTATAATTATAAAACCACTTAAACCACTCAACTTCAAACCATTAACGTACTTGAGCAGATATTTGTTCGAGAAAACAAAGATTTGAATCATATTCAAAAAATCTACAAAGTATTATTTCTACAGGTTTCATATACTGACGTTTCAAACCCAACAGGAATGGTCAGTTTAAACAAAAAAGTTGTCACTGTTATTGTTTGAAATATAAACAAACATGTTTATCATTTAAGATGGATTCGGGAGTGAAGTACATCTACTAACAATCTGTTTAACGATTGGCTTCATGACAAACAGAACTGTTATTATTGAATCAGAACAATCGCAATATTCAAAAACAGGATGGAATGGTTTGCTGCTACCGATGAGCAACAATTGTACACAACTTTACAATCAGACATCACAATTAGTATTGAGTAATTTTATATTTCTGTTTATGATTTAATTCAATATATTCTATAGTAATATTAGTTCTTTTCCCTCATTTTATTAGGATAACATATTATAAATAATGACAAATACATTTTGACAGAAACTGTTTTGTTTGAAAACACATGACAAGCATTCTTGTCCAATGAAAATGGTGTAAGAGCTTTTGTCCTCTTTTGTAATATGTTTGTAAAACTGTATATAATGAGTATATTCATGCAACGTGTTTGATAAAACAAAAGACGAACGGATCATAACATTCAACTTTTTAACCAAGCAAAAGACACTTGCATTCATGTAAACAATAACACTAGTTTTTACAATAATGCGAATTATTATGTTTTCATGAAGGTTTGTTCAAGTCAGATGATATGCCTGTAATAAAAGTTGGATACAAATCATTCTACTTTGATTTGCAACTTATACTCCCCCACTACATAGTGGATGTGGTAAAATGTTTTCATTCCGACCCACAACTGTGGTGGGCTGGACAAATCGCCAACTATATCCTTAGACCTACTCAGCGCGTTAGAAATCTCATTGCCAAACAAAAGCAGGATCTTGGTTTCCAGAATGTGATTGTTGGGTAAGAATATGTTTTCCTTCTGTCTTAAATATGTGATAAAGCTTCAGTTTTATGGTATATATATATTTGCAACAAAAATGTTTTTATCGTTTTTATTTTTGGCTTCGAGAGAGAAGATCATATCACACCTGCCTTAAAAAATGGCTGGTCACTTGTGTCTTTTTCTATAGTTCCCTCTGTACACAATTTTTAGCACAGTTTGCAATATTATTCATACAATTATGAAGCCATATCTAACAATAATAGCTGCATCGTTTAACTAAACTCCTTGACCCTACCAGGTAATGTATCCATTTATTACACATCCATGATGATTTGATAATTGTATTTAGTGGGAACCGTCGCAATAAATAGTTAAAAGTTATAATTAGATATACTGTGCTTATTTATTTGTCCTTTTGCATGTATATAAAAATGCTACAGTTCTACGGCAACTTTTAAGACAGCTAATAGTTCCTTATTATTATTGATATTCTTCAGAAACTGGCTGTTATGAGGTTATTATATTGATACTTTTGAACTACAAGTTGTATCAAAATCCATGGAGAATGATCGTAATGGAATCAAAAGTCCTATCAAACTATTTATTAAATAAAACAAAGTATCATTACTGAGATATTATTAATTTTGATAAATTTAGACTTCAGGTTCGAAGGACAGATAAATTGTCTGAGGCATACTACTACAATTTAACAGACTACATGGACATTGCAGAGAAATGGTACAATGATTACGAGAAAACATCGGGATATACAAAGGTTAAACGTAGAATATTTTTGGCAACAGATGTACCTGATGTCGTCTTGGAAGCAAAGAAATCGTAAATTATTTTAACCATACTGAACTATATACGACAGAACATTTTTAACTATTTCATTAGGCAGATCTTGCAATGTGGTTTGGAAGAGTTCATCTATTTTCCCTAGTAATTGCAGTGAGAAGATATAAATGTACTAAGTTAATTTATAAATATGTATTCAACCTAGCAAAATTATATTTCAAAATATTAGAAGAGAATTTCACATATTAGTTGTGCAGTACAAATTGAAATATTACACATGGGGTGTTCAAATACTTATGAATGAAAATGGGTCAATTTTCAGAAGTGCTTCACAAACAATGCCAAAATAATTATCTCAATTCTTCAAAATTTTCACCAACATGAGATTTACAAAGTTTAAGTCTTTAACCCATTTTATAAATGCGTCGAGGTATACTGTCCAGACACTCGAATATAGCTGAATGAGAATTTTCACGTTTGTTATTTTCTTCCAGCAAGTTTTGTTTAGAGCATGTGAAATAGGAAGAAGTCACAAGGTGCACGATCTTGCGAATGAGGACAGTGAAGAAACTCAACAAACTTTTCCTGTATCAGATATTCTTGTACAATGGCCGCTTTGTAGAACTGTTTCTGGTCGTTGGGTTTTTTTTAAAAATATTTCTTTAATTTATGAAGGAACTTGCCTTTTTAAAACTTGGTAGTAAGACAATTTAAATAGCAGGACCTTGATTGGTAAAGAAAATTACATACATGATCTTTTTGATGTTCATGGTGCTTTTTGCTATGTAAGGTCTTTGACATTCTTTGGTTGACCATATTTTGTTATGTATCTTTTGCTTGGGCATATAAAAGTGAACCCACGTCTCATCGATCGTGATGATATTTGCGCAAGATTTATTGCCATATTTAGGGAGGAAATGATGCAACACTTGTTTGGAGATACTTACCCGAGCAGGTTCTTGCTCTTTTGTAAGGGGATAGGGTATCAATCTGGCACTTATCCTTCTCATTCTTAAATGACGTCTGAGAATTGTATGAGAATTGTATAAGCGGCACATACAGAGATACCAACGCATGTAGCTATAAACCAAGTTGTAAATCATCAATAGCAATCAAATCCTTTACGTTTTTAATCATTTTCGCGAAAGTTGCAGTTTGCATTTGGACGGCGTGCATGAGATGCATCTTTTACTGAATCAACACAACTTTTAAATTTCTAACACCACCATGTGACAGATGAAAAGGAAAGTCATTATTTCCAAAAGCACATCATATTCCAAAAATACCAACAATACAGCGGTTCTTGATACAGGACTGTATTTGGTCAGTGAAAGGAGACCTTTTCCCAGCCAATTTAGCTTTAGTATACACGAGAAGATAGTGTTAATCGAGCATTTGTCAAAGCTAGACTTAACTGATATACACATGCATTGTATCAAGTGAGAGCTTACACTATCATGTAACTATGCGATTCATGTATACGTAGTTTGTGCAAAACGTAGTTAAAGGGAGATACTGGCCTAGTTGCATTCATATTTGAATACCCCTCGTACCAGTCACTTTATCATTTATGGAATGGTAGACATAATACGAAACATGTCTAAACTTAACCATCTTCTTTCTTTGGAAATTGTTCAGGTATATTTTCCTTACTTTATTTCTTTTTTTCAGTTACCCAGCCTACAAATTTATCAATGATATCAATGCTACAATTGCAGCAAACAAACGTGAAACACGATTTACATTTTCATCTTTGTCCGATATCATAGTCGATATATTTTTGTTATCAATGTGTGATTACATTGTTTGCACCATGACGTCTAACGTAAGTAATGCATTAATGTATACAGTATTGTTTCTTGTCACAAGAAGAAACATATTTTTTTCTATTTCTATAAAGTATCATTTCTAAACAAATGCATTACTTATCAAACACAAGAAATCACTTAAATTGCCGAAATGACCATCATTTATATAAGGAAAATTTGAACTGGTGCATTAATTCCAGACCTGCTTAACAACTTTTTGATGCACGTGTTTTTGAGTGTTTTTATAGGACAAAATTCTTTAGCGGTCGCTTTTTAAAATAAGCATCAGTGAATAAAATAGTAACATTATCACTCAAACTAGATTTCTCACAACTTATACGCGTTTTAGAAAATTGATTCATTGTTATTTGTTTTTAGGTGTGTAGACTAGCGTATGAGCTGATGCAGAGTCGCCATATAGATGCGTCAACATATGCTAAATCACTAGATTGTGATTACTATATCCAAAGACTATACAAAGCCCATTGCAAGAAGCAACCCACACGAGTAGAGCAGTTGATGAACATTACTCACAACACATTTCAATGATACCTAACACTACTCTTTTTCACTTGACAAGTAACAAAAATATGATTACGTGTATGTAATAACTGAAACTAAATGTTAAAAACATGGACTGGCAGATTGATGCAAAAAAAAATACACACAGCATAATGCAAAATTAACAAAATATAGCTTTTGATCGCGTGTTTGGAATATTGAAACGGAATACCTTACCTTGATACCCTGGACAAAGGATTTGTATTTTTTATGTGAATACGTTAATTTGATAGTTTGATCTAAAACCGTTTCTTTACACACCTTAATGTAATGATTTGTATTTATTTGTAGCAATGACCAGACAGGATGACAATCCTTTCTGAACTATCATTTCACAAACAACCAATTGATGCAGATTGAATACATACACCAATCACCATAATCATGCTAATTGTACCGAAGGTATTTACGAAAGCCGAGGCCTATTAGTAGGCTCATTGTGAAAACAAACTTTCTGAATTAGTTAAATCTTTAATAAAAAATGAAACACAATACGTTATTATATTACTTAATTCAAATTAATTCGATACCGCTTGTAAATATGATACTTATAAATAAAGCTGTAAATGTGGTTAAATATTTTTACAAAGAGACATGAGCTACAACAATTCAAGAACTTTGAATAACGTGTCTTAAATTAAATTAAATCACAACTGGTTCAAGAGGCACATATGAAAACGAAATACAAAATAATCAGTCTTTTTGGCTGGTCTAAAAGATTTTGGTTGGGTTGGGTTGTACGTCTTCCAACTTTGCAAAGGTCATTTGGCAACATCCGAAGGATGACTTAATTGTTTTAGTTAAGAACGGCACTGTAAGTAGGTCTGGCTATCTGCATCAACCTTTAAATATAAATATCACATCTTCCTATTTCTATAACCAGAGTACATACATCAAAAAAGGCGCACAAACTATCCACCATTTTATAGATATCAATGTTTGTTGGGTAGTCCTCTATAAATCCATTACTATAACATTACATGAATGTGATGATCACCCTTTAAAAATAATGTGAAATTAATGTGAATTAGAGTGAATGTTTGATAATCACCTTTTCCTCAACTCTCTCCAATCCATGAACAAGCCTTCGGGTAAAACATTAGAAACACTTATAATATTTTCAAAAAATATATATCTACAAAATGACAAACACAACTAGATAATATCCAAATAAAGGAATTAAAAGAAGCACAGTCACAAATATAATGTTTTGCTGACATGGTGATTAAAAGTCTGAATTCCTAAAACTGTCTAAAATGTAAAATTTATAAATTTGTAGGTTTGGTTTGATTGATTCTGCTTATGGATGGTTTAAGAAAATGCATGAACTGTCCATAGCCCTAGCACCGGCTTAAGCAGAATTAAATATCTAAATTAATGGTACACTTTTTAATTTAGAAACATAAACATATAATTATACTCATACGTCGGTTATCATTTAAATTTACGATATGTTATTGCATAAACAATGGCGTATATACACATATGGTATATGGGTATAGTATATGGTGAAGTGTCTAACTGTTAGAATCTATGTTCTCATACCTTAACCTTTCAAAAGATAGTACTGACCTGTTAAATACTGTCCAGTTTCACTTACAAGCTGGACATATGGCATAGGTAAAGATGCCAAGGATGAAAGATTAAATGGTGGACGTTACATCTTTGATTTCCGATTTCTTTTGTTGACAGAAACTTTAAAATAAGCCTTGTTTCAACTATTTCTGAGAAGGGTAGGATATATCTATAGCACATTTTTGTTCCAAAAATTAACATGTCGATAATAAAAACATCATTATGACTCTGATGTTTACATCTACTAGCACTTAAACGAGCACGTTTAGTAGGTATTGTTACGAGCCAGGCGTAACGAGAAAGAAAAGCCAGCAACAAACTTGTAACAACAACAAATTTATTACAGAAAAATTATTAAAGAAAAAAAAATAAAATATCAAATTATCTTTACAAATACCTGAAGTCCAAATAAAAATGACAAATGTCTAGTCTGATCCTGGAATGATCCTTTTTTAATAGCACAGTTAAATCCAAGTTAAATCCAAGAACACTTTAGAATAAATTCCCACAATAAAATCCACAAGAATAATTAATAATCCAAGCTCCAATAAATCACTTAATTTCCAAGTTGAATAATACTCCAAATATATTGATTTCTAAAAGATCACTGATGACTTAAAAGGTAACTGATGACTTAAAGATAAGATTAATGAAAAATGTCTCCTTATATATATTAACTAAGAAGTTTTCAGAAAGGTCTATTATGTTCTCAAGTAATCATAATCTAGCAACTTCAACAATAAAGATCATTCCAGAAGTTTCTATCTAAATATAATGCATGAGTTTTCTACAACAGTTATGAACCTTCTAGTACATACATGTAGTTTATGTTCTAAAAATAGAACAATGATAATATTGGAAATACCAACTGGTCAGATATAAATTATATACATGTAATATGTTGCATACATAACAGTATATAACTCCTACTGTTTCTAAATGCTGTACCATATGAACCTTTCTTATGCAAAGAATTTCTATGACCCTCAGAACAAAAAAATGTTAAAATAAATTTCTAATGAAATATTAGTTATATTCCCCATGCACGTACGAGGAAATATAATAAGCACCGTTAGAAACTCCATATGTGTTCATCTGCAGCAGTCATACGAGAATTTAATGTCATATATGTAATATTCCACCATCAAACAAGTCTCTATTCACATTCTTTTAACATGATGGAGTTGGAAATATACTTTCTATATATAATAAGATATCTCTGAGTATAAGCGGGACTGAAGACCTTCTCTACAGTACAAAATAGCTAGTAGCATATAACCCTTATTTAGGTTAAATTTCATAAAAAAATTTACCGAAACAGAAATAAAAACAATGTAACCAATAACAACATTAATAAATTGGGGCAAATAATGTTGACGTAGTTAACGTAGTATGCCTCTTGCATAGAATATACTTCAGAAAATACACTTTAACAGAAGAAATAAAGATAAAAGCATATTGCAAACGCAACAATTGCCACAGAGAAAATGTAATGCTGCAAAAAAGCAAGACAACCAAAGGACTAAGAAGGAAAATGTTAATACTACAGAAACAGAACAAGACCCTTTACACTTTTCGAAGAAGCAAAACACCAAAAAACGTATGAAATTATATAATGAAGGAGGATAGATATCCTACGTTTTTAACATTGTCCATGAGTTGTTATATACAGATCACGACATATACAAAATAGTGCATGAAAATAGCTATATATATTAAGTAAATATAAACAAGCTATAAATATTAAAAAACTATAAAGTTTATTTAATGTTACAAGATCAAAATTGTTGAAACCACAACAGTTACTAGATAATAAAAAATTCAACAAGCAAGAACAAAACAGCAAACTATGTCAATATGAATTTGACTACGGAACAACACTTAACAGTGCCTGCATCAATAAAGAACAGATTTGTTGTTGTTTCTTTTCAAAACGAAAAATACATATTTTTATTCCCTTTTTCGATTTTTAAACTTTCAAGACAGATACGTTTTGTAACCCAAATTAGAAAGCAACAATCATTTACATGATTTGGACGAATTATGGTGATATTTCTGCCTTAAAATGTTTGAATAATTTATTTAACCATCATTGATGAATAATGTGAAGGAATAACAATATATATATAAAGATATGTACTCAAAGATTAATGATGAGTACTAAGAGTCATTTGATTATTTACGATATAATAAGCAATCCAATAAAATGGTAATAAAAGAATAAATTTTGCAGTTAGATAAAAGGAATTCACACGTCTTCATATAAACATGTATGATTATAATAATATTTCAGATGTTGGAAAAGCACAAGGGTCGTTTGCAATCAGAAGTTCCTTTGTCGTATGTGTTTTTTGGAAGGTGTATTTCTGCCGTAGTATTATATCATTTGGTTTAAACAAAGATTCTGACCTGTCTACTAAAATAATGTGTGTTATGTTACATAATTAGCTAAGAAAATTCGCCTCCTTGTAGGCCAATATCTCGCTTTTAACTAGGTTTTGCACGTATTATGTACATGTATCGCATAGATGGTTGTGTAAGCTCTCAATTTATACAAAATATTTGTACATCTTCAGTCTAGCTTTGATAATACTATTAGCTCGATAAACGCTATCTACTTGTGTTTACAAAGCTAAATTGGTTGGGAAAAAGTCTCATTTTACTGGCTAATCAAGAACCGCTGAATTCTTAGTATACAGGCAAATGGAATATTTAAATTGAAATATGTCTCTTTTATGTGAAAAATGAACTTTCTTTATCATCTGTCACAAGCTGGTGTAAGGAATTTAAAAATGGTTAGATTCCGTATGAGATGCACCTCATGCACCGACTGAAAACTTTAACTTTGCCAAAAATGGTTAAAAAAACTAAAGTATTTGATTGCTTCTGATGCAAGATTTACATCAAGGTATATAGTTGTATGCGTTGGTATCTCTGTTGGGGCTGCTCATGTAATTCGCAGAACGTGATTTAAAAATGAAAAGGATAAGTACCAGATGGATACCCCATCACCTAAAAAAGAGCAAAAACTTGCTCGTATAAGAATGTCCAAACAATTGTAAAAAAGTTCCCTATATACAGCAATCGATCTTTCGCAAATATCATCACTGGCGATGAGACGTGCGTTCACTTTTATGAGCCCAAGCTAAAGATGCATAACAAACTAGGGGCAACCAAAGAATGTCAAAGACCTTGCACATCAAAATGCACCATGAGCGTCAAAAAGGTTATGTTTGTAATTTTGATTACAAATCAAGGTCATGTTATTCAAATTGCCGTACCAAAGGGTAATCTAAATCTGTTTATGTCAAGTTTTACAAAGGAAAGGCCCTTCATTAATTAAAAATAAATGTCAAAAACCGTCGACCAGCAACTGGTCTCCGTGGTGTCAGTTTGATGCATAACAATGCTTTGTCTCACAAAGCGGCAATTGTAGGACAATATCTGATCAGGAAAAGGCTGACAAGCTTCCTCACCCTCATTATTCGCCAGATCTTGCGCTTGCTGGAAAAAATTATCAAACGCGAAAATATCTCGGGTCGGCTATTTTCCAGTGTCTGAACAGTATACCTCGAAAAGAAAATGAAAACGTTTGTAAAAATTAGATTAAAGGACTAAAACTTTGTATATCACATGGTGGTAAGTATTTTGAGGGATTGATTTTGGCACCTTTTGTTAAGCACTTCTGAAAAAAAGACACGGTCGCATTCATGTTTGAACATCCTTCGTTTCATATTCGTTTTTGTTATCGCATAAATGTAATTTAGTAGATTAAAACCTTCATTTTTGTAGCTGTGGCTACTACAGGTATCAATTTAAAATCCAAGTAAGTCAAATGTATTTTAACTCTTTAAAAAAACTGTTGGAGAACACATGCTTGCTTTAAGATTATAGTTTTAAAAAAGAAACAAACGGTTCCTAAACTTTGCCTTCAGCATGGTCGGCTACTGAATAAAACTATCCATTTTAAGAATAATTAGGTCTAAAAAAGTAGATAAAGTTGTAAATATCTAGGTATATATTTGAAGTTATCTTTCAAAAAAAAAATCCTGTCAATCAATGTCATTTGAAAATGCTAGCTAAATTTATAAATATTTGTCAAGTGCCTAATATTATGCTTGTACCACATCCTAGAGAACAGAATGCATCGCAAACCAACCAACTCTCTGCAAATCTTGGTATTGCAGCTGAGGTTCAATGTGAAAAAATAGACTGTTACATAAAATAACTCTTACTTAGCCTGACGTTTAAGATGTTACAATCGCTAAAACTTTGAAAGGTAAAGATGATTAGCAAGATGCCAATAAATGTACCATACCATGAGCGCAATTCATAACTTTTTTTGCAGGGAAATAACACTTTACCACTACTGACGCAAAAATTAGAGGCTAAATCAACAATTGTCTAAGTGATAAACGATATATCGTGATCATTTAAACAGCTTTAACAGCATTAGAAAAGTACAAGATTGATATCTAGCATAGAATTTTAGACAAAGGGAACCGATTTTCCTTTTTAACTAAAGACAATTTTAGATAATATGCACATCAAATATTTGAAATATAATCACTAAGTGTCAGCAAAACGTTCATGTTATAGTATGTGACAAACACATGCTTATATATTTAACTATATTGTTTATCTTTAGCAACACCCTCATTGATTTTAGATTAACGAGTACATATAAAATAACATATTCATATTAAACAATATGAATATTACTTAAAACTCTTAAGATATGAATTTTTGAAAACCTGATAACAATCATCTTGTACACTTATCAAGGTAGATACATTTTAAATATTATCTTACAATTTCACACGAAGGAATGATTAACATATTAACATTAATTGAACCAATACTTTATCATTCAATTATTTTGAAACAATAATTTAAATTAACATTTTTCTTTTGTGGAATAAATTGGAAAACTATTGAAAATTATGTAGGCGACTTTAAACATTTAGTTATAGAAACGTAATGAGATCAAAAGGAATTCCTATTAGTTTAAATAGATGTATTATCATGTTTACACTCGGGAATTGATATAAAAGGTCAGGTCATAAGTCATTACAAATTATATAAGAAATTATCAAACCAGAGGTTTCCAAGTGTTTTAACTTAGGTGAAGTAGTTATATGTTTTGATGGGTGTGTTGTAAGAACTGCAATATTTGGATGCAGCGAATCAGAACAATGACAACCTTAAAGTATAATAACGTGTTTGTTAATTATGAATTTTTAGAATTTGTACCTTCTTTGCTTAACTTCAAATAAATACTCATTTGAATTGTTTCGTTTATTTAAGAACGATATTTCTTTCTGTTCAATATTAATTTTCTATCAGCATATTGCAATCTTTAAAATGACAAGTAAGAATGTAATACTTGTTACTGGAGGAGAGGGTCTTGTCGGTAGTGCAATAAAGTTTGTCTTAGATAATGGCGAGACAAGAACTGAAGAAGAATGGGTGTTTACGTCTTCTAAAGAGTGTGATCTCACGTAAGATATATTTTAAAATACGATGTTTAACACACATTTATATAGTTAAGATTGAAACGTAAATCTTTTTAATTTAAACAATCGATTTGTTCTAGATCTTTTGCTTTAAAGCTTGCAAAACTGAAACGACGCATACAGTATTAAAAGTGTATTACACCGTTGTTAGTGTAGCAAGGGAATAATCTCGTGAAAAATGCATTTTAAAAATAGCATTAGCAAGCATTGTTTAAAGAATTTTGTCTTATGTAAGAATTGGACCCTTTCCTTGGTTGTCGAATGGGTAAAGTCGCCGACTTTAAATAGATTACCCGTCACCGTTGTGGGATTGAATCCTGCCAGGGAGTGTGGGTCTTTCATGTGAGGGAGTGTTCCATTTAGCTTACAGAGAGTTGGTGGTTCTATTTAGATTCCTGCTTTCGCCTTAAGTAATGTTCGAATCTTATATTAAAGTAAATATGATCAAATACGAAACGCTCACTTAAAGTCGTCACTTTTATTTACTATTTATACGATGAATATATGATTCAGATAAAAGTCAAGCTTATTTGATGTTGTACGCTAAATAAATATGTTTTAACGGTTAGTGATATTTCTATAAAAACATACATTATAGCAAATCTACATCACTTGTTAACCTTTGGTCAAACATGACTTGTATAACTGATATTAACTTGATTATTTTTATACGCCGTTGACCAAAAATTTTACCGTTAAGCTGATAATCAGTGGCACCAATTTGGTAAAAAAATATTCATAAAGAAATGTTCCCTTTTGTTCGCGGAACAATATACTATTATAACAATTGAACTAACAAATATGCTTGCCAAAAATTTTCTTGGATTGTAATGCACTAATTTATCGTTTAAGTAAGTACAATCACATTAATATAATTACATTCTATTCTCATCTGATCTTAACAATGAAAACGTAGTAGTATTATTTCTATTTAAGTTTAGCTTCATTAAAATTTTGCCAAAGAATCCTAAATCAATATCTAAAAAGAACCAATTTCAAATTTTCTTTTACAATTTTTATAACCTTGAGCTTGTGTTCACCTATAATCTAAATTGCTCACTATATTGTTTCCTCCTTGTGTTTAAGGAAATTGACGGATACAAACAAATTATTCGAAAAAGTTAAACCTACGCATGTAATCCACTTAGCTGCAAAGATTGGAGGGCTTTATGGCAATCTTGAAAATAGCCTGCAATACTTTGTAAGTAATATCTTTCGGTAAAAATGTTTAGTTTTTTAATCATGTTTTTTTCTAACAAAGGGATCAAGAACGTTGTGGCTGTGAAATTATTTCAAGTATCTCAGGGACATGTACAAAGTGTTTTGGAATGTATAAAAATAAATATTTCTCGCAAATCCAACAGGATTTGTATTGTTCGAATCGGTCCTGCAAAATGCAAACTTGCACTCCCTTATAACATTATTATAATAATTATTGTTTGTATACATTTTCAAGTTCGGTTAAAACGTTGATATGAGCATATTAGCAACACATATAGTGTCAACTTTTACTGTACAGATAATTTTGTAAATACGGAAAGGTTTTAACTAACCTTTACATACCCGAGCAGTCGACAAATAGCATGCTATCAAACATGTCGCAGATTTTTCTTTTATGATAATTACTTATGTTGTACAATTAAATAAAGATGTATGTATAAACAGAGAAATAAAAGATCAAATGAGGTTTAAGTTATTAATACAAAATAGCTATTTTTACTGATTGATTTTTATTGAATATCGATTTTTTCCTATTTGGTAAACAATTAAAAAAATTAAAAAGAAATAAGTGATTTTCTTTAAACTTATTGCAGAGAACAAACATCATTATAAATGATAATGTATTAGCTGTAAGTCATAATTTTGGAGTGAAGAAAGTTGTGTCATGCCTGTCGACTTGTATATTTCCTGACCGCGTTTCATACCCAATCGACGAAAAAATGGTAAAAACATGCACATTCTTAAGACATGAATATTTCTTTACATAACATATAACTATTTTAATCCTAAAATGATTGAGAGTATTTATTTATTTAACACAATGATCAAGTTTCTATTAACAAATTGTTTTTTGAATAATTTATTTCAACATACGCGTGCCTAAAACTGCAGTATGAAGATTCGGCAACAAATACATAACTTAAATATACTCAGTTATATATAACATAAAATCTTAAATAACTTGCAGATTCATGATGGGCCTCCGCATGATTCTAATTTTGGATATTCATATGCTAAAAGGATGATCGACGTCTTGAACAAGTAAGTCAAATTTCTGCCTTCCTTTTTCTGAGTGTGAAGTTGAATTATATGGTACAGATTTAGTCTTTTCTCATTATACATATTTCGTATATGAAATGTATTCTAATTCTCAAATATATCTAATGCATGCAGATGTTACAACAAAACCTATGGTGACATATTTACTTCCGTGGTACCTACAAATGTGTTCGGACCGCATGATAATTTTAACGTTGAGAATGGGCATGTTTTAGGTGGACTTATCCATAAAGCGTTCTGCGCTAAACGTAAGCCATTTGTTTATTTTCACTAGTTTTCATAATGTGATTACCTTGAAGCAATGTTTCAGAGTGTTATTGTTATTTGCATTAATGTTGCTGTTTGTTATAAAGGTTTCTATTAATTAATGTAGTTTAAGTGATAACACTTAACATGGCAAAACAGAAAATGTTACACGTTCGATTCGGTCAAGCATGTTCATATAGGGTAGTTGTTAATGCAAGCTACCGCCTTTAGCAGAAATCTTCATATAGATTTAATTTATGATTAAAATTAATACGATTCAAGGAAGTGCTTATGCTATTATGAGTCTTCTGTATTTTTTCTCGGCTCAGGGGACAATACCGACTTTGTCGTATGGGGCACGGGTTCACCGCTAAGACAGTTCCTTTATTCAAGAGACCTTGCTCGTCTTATGATATGGGTTCTACGCAGTTATGAAGAAATAGAGCCTATCATTATTTCAGGCATGTAATCATAGTTGCGAACGTAATTATAATAATTTCTTCATTTTGAACATTTACAGTAAGTAGTGATTGATTGAAATGATTTACTGTTGCTTCTATAATCAACTTAGCTAAACAATTTATCAGAAATTAGATAAAATTCACGCATAAAGAGTATAATTCTTTATGGTATCAGCAAAGAAAATGTTATTATTTTCATACACCTTTCCTTTAAAATTTTTGTTTTTTCTTACAAAAAGAATACAGCATACCACAAAGCTGTAATATAAGTCTCTGATCAAATTTAATACCTTAATGACAAACTATAACTGAAATGAAATTAAGTATATTATAAATATTCCTTTCATGTTTTCAAAGTCAATGTCGAAGATGAAATAAGCATTAAGGAAGCTGCTGAGATTGTCGTTAAAGCAATAGGATTTAAAGGGAATGTTATTTATGATACAAATAAATTAGATGGTCAATTCAGAAAGACAGCGTCGAACCGTAAGCTGAAAACATATCTTCCAAATCTGAAATTTACTCAATTTGAAGACGGTAAGCATTAAAGAAATAAAAGACATATAAAAGCGTAATGAATTAAAAAATGAATTGTTTTATATATCTAATGATTTATATGGAATGACAAAATATCATTTAATAATCTATATACGAAAAAGGGGAAGTAGATATTAAATTTATAATACAGAAATAAATCAAAAGAGGTTCAATACAAATCAAACACTACGCTTGTCTTAAATTACAAAATTATCGAAGACAAAATGTAAAGGTTCTGTAGGAAGGTAAATATACGTAAATTAACATTGTTGTTGGAAATGAAAAGTTCCTAATGTGACTTGCCTGCTTATATTGCCATTGTAAATGTATGAGTTAAATATGAATTAAAATTCAAAGCATTTATTTTTAATAAGTTCGTGTTTATCGGTTGATGTATATGTATATTTTAATATCTTCAGCAATCAAAGAGACTGTAGATTGGTATATGAAACATTTTGAAGAAGCGAGGAAGTAATCAAGGTGTTACTCACCCTCATACTAGGAGCTGGGAATATTAAATTCGAGTGACTGTATAATTGAAAGCAACTGTATTTTATAGTAATTTATCATTATGATCATTAATACAATCCGATGAACACATTGATTTCAGTCAGTATAAGTAGCTGTATATAATAATTATTCGCGGGAGTACTTGTATAGTCACCGACAATCCTATTTGCTGTATCTTATAGCCAAATAATTTTTAATTGGATACTAATTAATGAATATGATAAAGGATACGAGTCTTGCATCTGATCAATTTTTACCTTGTATAAGATTAAAGGCATATAATACTGAAAATCGTTAATTTCAGATAGGTCAGTAAATGTAGGTTTTTTATAAGATGCGTAAACATTTTATGTCATAGCTAATATATTAAATTATTTATTTTAAAGCTTAATATGACAAGTAAAATGAAGAACAAACATGTCTTTCTTTACTTTTTTCAACTATAGTCTCTGAATAAACTCTAATAGTTAAATCATTAGTGAATGTGTAACCCCTTAGAATTTAGAGACTTACGTTAAGGAAGGCAAATTGTAGTTAATCATAAACAAGAAATGAACGCGAGATCTGATATCCATCAGAGTACTTTAATAAAATTTAATTCAGTTTACACTAAACATGCAATAATTACTTATTAACGTTACTCTACAAGGGTGTTTCGTCACCAGTACAATATTTGCAAATGGTACATGATTTAAGGTTGAAAACATTTTGAGCAATAACTTAGCGGTTTCAAATCATACACGTTTTTGGTCATCTGTCGATATATGGGACATCCATCTAGCAGAAAAAAACGCTTGAAAATGAATCACTTATCGTGTACCTACCAATATTTTTTCCCTGATTTTCCAGAAATGCGTCGTAAATGTAACAGGTTCAGTTTGATTACGATTAGATTAACACTTAAGTGAGACTCAGGTTTATACCGATGACAAGAGATTGAATAGAGCTATTCATGACAGGCATATCAACATCTACATAGTGCAAACCGATTTTGCACTAAAGTACAAACTACATTACACATCGAACAACCTTCGATTGTGACATATTTAAGTATGGCCTTATTTTATTCTGGACAAAAGATACAAAGTCGATTTTACAGAAGTATTGTCTTGAAAAAGATTATGATTAAATTTTCCATGGATCTGTTAGTGGTTTTACTTTACAACATCTTCTGCATATAACATAATTTAATTGACTTAGGAGAGGTTTTTGGTAGTTGTTTTTGTTGTTGTTTGTTTGCATCTTTTTATTTTTAGATTTTAGTTATAAAAGTATATAAATCTTTAGAATGAATTTATTATAGAGTGTATTGAAAGTATTGAGAAAAATATACAAACACATGAAACATAAAACACCTCTTGTAAATACAATGGTTATAAGGAAATACTTCGATGTACAAGGAAACATTTAACAGATAATATGGTATTCATATCAGTGTCTCAATCTAACATCTGTGTAATAAGCTAAAATACATGCTGCTACGCAATGTTAGCGCCACAGAAAATGTCACAGTGTCTAGTACAGGTTGGTAGGAATTACTCTTATATAACAGAATATGAAAGTAGGTAAAATCTATGAATGGGAAGTCAGATAAGAAAAAATCATTCAATTCATATCACACATTTTTCGTGTTAAAGTTTTCAATCAGTATTTCTGTGTACCGTTTTGAGCCAGAAACTTTCAGCGATTATTTCTCAACCAAAAAGTTGCGATTGTTCATTTACCCGATTTCATCGCAGATTATAATTGAGTTTAAATGGTGGCGACCATGACCGACAAAAGACATTGACAATTTTATTGATAGTTATAGCATCAATATCATACATAACCATTATGAAAAAATGTAAATTAATAGAGTCAAATACATAGCTGAAGAGACGAACTTCCTATTTTATTTTGTTTTTTCCCCCAAATTTTTATTAATATGTTACAGATTAACCCTTATTTTGTATATTTTACGCGGTTGATCCGATTTATATTGATTGTTTTTATTTATTATTTTCAGTTTACTAGTTCTATAAATAGGCAACTTCAGAAATTTATTTGAAATCATTACAATAAAATTATATGTTCCTGAATTTAAATCACATTATAAAGTTTATTTCAAATATATTCTTAAAACATATCGGCTTAATGTAAACATGTTGAAATTTCTAAATATGGTAATTCTGTTCAATCTTTTAGACCAACTTTGACCAAAATTGAAAAAGACGAATGTGTCACTTACCTTTAAGAAGTTCTAAAAAATATTTTGAAAAGCAACGCTAGTTTTCTACTTCTCCTTTCAAATTCATATGCTATGTACTTCACTACATAGAAATTCAATGGAATGCATACCTATTTTGCGATAGGGTAGCAGGTCTGTATTTAATGCGATAAAATCCATTTTATAATCGCAAATAAACTCTAGATGATTGTGTTACACAGAATGGACAGTAGCACAGTCCTCAGTAATTTTTTTAAGAAACAATAAATCAGCCATTTCATATTTTATTCAACTCCCCAGTACATTTGTACAGTTATGTACCATTTTAAAAAAGAAACAAAACAATATACATATAATAAGAATACCAATAAAGCAAACGGGTTGGACAACACGTTCTTAAAACATTAGATTTAGACAAGTGAGATAAGACTTGAGTATATTATAGGGTTTTCGATTTGCCTGTTTTTCATTTAAAGACAATCAATAACTAATTTTATCCTTTTTTGTCTGAATACATCTCGTTGTGACATAGATGTGTTCATACGTTTTCGTTTTCTTTCACAAAATAATCGTTGATAAATTATACAGCTCTTAAACTAATATTTTTTAAGTCCAAGAGCAATCAGTAACGAAATGTGTTGCCTCATGATAGCCATAACTCGGCCAAAAATCAAACTCAAAACCTGTGAGATATGAACAAGATTTTAAGCTACCGATTAATCATGTAAACTTTTATTGAAATTGTATTAGTGGTATAACAGGAGTAATCCGAAAAAAATCTAAAATTAAAATCATTAAAGGGACAACACTCTGACAAATCTATATAACTATATCTTATAATATCATAAATCATTGCTATCCCAAGCAGAGAAGATATTTCAAACATCTTATTTCCTGTACGTCACATGTATTTATTTAGTGTTGAAAATAGGTTACAATGGCTTTTATTAAACATGATTTCCTGAGCAAAGTTCCGTGACGAAAGATAAAAACGCTTTATAATCAGCACCTTTTTGTCATTACAATAATTTTGTAAAGAATTTTCATTTAGGCACTTAGTGTTAATTGCAGTCCTGTATGATAACCCCAGTTGGATTAATATATAATATAACCGTTACACTAAATAACTTCTTTCAAGGAAAACATGAATACACTTGCGACAGTCAGTATTATTAATTTATAAAAATATAATTTATTTTCATAAAAGTCATAACTTGGTCTAGATATTTGATTGTTCATCAAAAACAAATACAATTTTTTCATAAAATAATTCTGTCTTCTAAGATTGTTTTTCATTTTAATAAAACTTCTAAAGATTGAGTATCCTTAGACCATTTATTATCCTAATCGGACTAAAACACATGCTTAATTATAACTCATTAAACGATTCAGAGTCAAATAATTGCTTTAACCAGTCAAAGAAACATAAATATTTTGTGAATGTTTGAGTAGGAAATAACTTGTATAGAAATCTAAAATATGCTGTGAATAAAATTTTCAAAATCTTTTGTCCGCCAAAGTGGTAATTTACAATTACGATGATACAAGGAATCGATAAAATATGGGCAGTCCAGTGATTTAGCTAATTTCGATCCATCTGTGTGTCGAGGCTGCATAAGTTCAAAAGCTAGTCTGCATTCCTGAAATATAATACACTAAATTAAACAAATGTAATCTCAAAATGCCCTAGATTTTATCGTAACTGTTTATTCCAGTTATTCTGAAACAATGATATCGTTTGACTTAAAAAAATAACAAGACAAAGAATTGGTCGCTGCTTTTTGATTGGTGTGTAAATGTATGTACGATATTATTATATTTCTTTTTGTTAGGTAAATATTTGTAAAATGTAATAAGGAATATTTACATCTGAAGACATGTTGCAGATAAGATAGTCATTGATAACAGATAGGTGTCAAGTATTGTTCCAGCAACTGAAGGAAATTGGGCATGGCTTTGATTTCCACCAGGTTTGTACAAAAAGCTTTAGTTGGAATACCTAAAACGAAAAAAAACTATAATATTATACATACATTTATATGCCATGCTTTTGAACTTTTTCCATTGTTGTTCATTATTATTATTATATAAAAACAAAAAAAAACTGTTTAATGTTTAATTTACATGTCCATAAAATTTCGAACGGCTTAATATAAACGTATTTTATATAAAATGACATTATGCCTATTCCATTGCACATGGTCTCTGTGGAGTGGTAAAAAAGAAAATAACTTTGCCGTTAATGTATTTTACTACGAAAAAAAATCAATAATTCAAATGATGATCAGAAATGTTTATAAATAACAAAATGAATCGAACTGCTCTTTTTTTCAAAAAGTGCGGGGCAGTCTTTTATAATTCCTTTTTATATTGTACCACTATGGATTGTTGGTCATTCACCATTATAAGAGTCAACTTTAAAAAAGAAATACTTATTCAAGTCAATATGTCAAAGAAAAATGATCAAAGTGTCACTTTAATTACATTGTTTTTCTTTAAAGATTGATCGTGTTACATGAAGAGTACAATAAATAAAAAAGAAAAAAGTAGTTAGCTACTGAAGATACACAATAAATTTGTATTTATTTGTGTTTAAAAATGTCATGTTTGTGTATGTTAAAATGAAGCACAATAAAGACGTCTCGTCACAGAATATTTAATGTCTTAATCCAGGTTTATCTGTAATATTAAATTTTGAATTACTACAAAACACATATTTATGTACTGTTTATGTTATGAAACTAGCACGTGAATAAATGAATGTCTTTATTAAAATATAAAATATTCGAAAAAAGGTCACAATATATACAGTTGCTTAGCCTTTTCTACAACAGAAGGTTCGTCAGTAGCTATGTAGATTCTTCTTTGTATTCCAGATAAACCAGATTTTCTTTCGTATGCCATATACCATTTTTCAACCAAATTGATATATTCATTAAAATTGCAATGTATTGCTTGGGTTTGTTTGTTCTTTATTTGAACTAGTAGCCTGAAAGTAAAACAAGGGATGAATGTGAGATAAACATTGTTTAAAAAAGAAAAACGAAAGCATACAAAATAAATTTTTTTACAAATGCTTATTTTTTGAATAAAGAAGTTACATAACGTAGTGTATGAGAAAATGGTATTTAAATAAATTCTTATACAGAAGTATTAGTGCGTGAAATCAACATTGCCATTGACTCTAATGGTCATATGTCCCTCACAGTTAATTCAGTAATCATAAGTGAAGGATAAGTGACCGGACACTTGCGAAGACATGTGTTATTACCGAAAAAGTATCATGAATAGGCGGTTTGATGGATCGACCGCTGAGGCATGGTCAAAAATTTGTAAAATATCGGCATGAAATTAACCAACAAACCAATTCATCAATCAAACAATAAACATGAGAATATTGCTTACCCGACAGTGATATTTTGAAATCCTAGCTCTGCCTTGCTTTTCTCGATAAGAAGGTTAAAGTTTTTGCTAGGTCTAAGTATGAACGTAGCTATTTGTCCAGCCCACCAAAGAGATGGGTTTGAATGGAAATGATCAATAACATTTGTTAAATACGAAGGAATGGTTCTTTGAAGATCGAAGTAGTTTGTTTGAAAACTCGCCTTTATCACTGGTATATCATCAGTGCCAAACACACCTATATGTCAAGTAAATACGTCTTGTCATTATTATACCTCTTTTCATGTCTAAAGAATTATTTTGGAATGACTTGTTTCGTAATTTTAGAAATAAAATTTGAATATTCGTTTTGGACGCAATTTTTACACTAAATTATATCTATCATTTTTAATGTTTTCAGCTGAAATATTAACAAATACAGAAGAAGACTTTTTCATTCGAGTGGCGAAGTAAAAGATGATAAACACCAATTGAAATCAAGATTTGTTTATTTATGAAATCAGTTATTTTCATCGATATATAAAATATCAAATGAATGATTAGGGTACATTGTTGAAATACCGTCTTACACTTAAAATCACTGTATTCTAGGCAAATGTATTAATACATTTTTGAAAGAAAAGTCATGTAAAGGGGCAAAATAAATTGATTTTGATAGGTATCCAGTTTAAGGATTCCAAATGAGAGATGTTTGTGGTAAAATGGATTTCCCATCATTGCCGACATTTGGAAAAGAAAGGCAAGAGTAAACAGTCTCAAATGTTGCTTAAACAGTTTCCAATTTTCATCACCCAATCTTTTGCAAATATTTCCAGTAATAACAAGAATTGTATATAGGGGAATTAGTCTGGCAAAAGACCATTGCTAAGCGGGCCAAAGTATATGGCATATTTTACTTTACAATTTAATTCACTGTACCTATGGCAAATTAGTTTATCCGAAATGGCTAAAGTTAACTGAAGTTAACTTCGAAAATTCAAGATAAAAAGTAATTATTGCAAATAAATCTTTTCTACTAACTAAAAACAACTTTAGCAGCTGTCTGATTAGTTGGTGATGTGCATGTGTTGCTTAGCGGTAACAACATTTCGCCCCATGCTGTATTTGAGTGCTTGCTGACATCTGTGCTAATCATAACGGTTCTATTTGTAAAATATCCGACAGTGAAACATATGGTTAAAAGATGTACCTGATAACCAAAGCCTTCTGAAAAAATAACCCACAAAATATGAGAAAGTATTGTTGCAATAATTTTCTCAAAGAGAAACTATTTAAAATAAGGGAGTGTTCTTTTTACTTTACATCACATAAATGTTGCTCATCGGTTCAAGTCTCTTCTTGAAAGTACAAACCGTAGATATCAAACGCGTTTAATGCCTAGTTTCTACACATGTTTGATAATTTAGTCACAAGAGCCAACCTGGACTTAAATGATACATGAGCATTCAAGTGAAATTTATTGTATCCTTACCAAAAGTCAGCAAAGTTCATTATATATAGCGTTTTTGTACATAAAAATATGCCACAATCAAAGTTAAAAGATGACTACATGTTTTAAAATAGGGGGACTGTTTGATTGGAAATATAATGTTACCGAAGATCATTTAGAGCGACTCAATTAAAAATCTGCTCTTCTTTTGAACACCCTAAAATGCAATAATTATTCCGAAAATCTACTTATTCATGTTCGATAATCTCCTAGTTTGGTCACTGATCTATGTTGGTGTTTATTTTTGATTCTTTGTTCTTACTTAAACAAAAATGTTCGTGTGCTATTGGACTCTGTGAATATGCTAAAATCTCTTACTTGATGGAAGTTCACATATGACCCATTTCTGATTATTGCAATCCTTCGGATTCTAGAAAAAATGTAAGGTAAAACGCTAGGTAGAGGAATAGAATAATATAGTATAATTGAAATTAAGGCCGAAAACTAAACTTAATACACATAAAGTATTAATTTAAAAATAGTGAAGGATGATACACTGTAACTGAATGATATTTTCCTAATAAAATACAGAAGAGGGAACAATTAAAAGTTAAAATCGCAGTAAAGAATCATAAATAGTAAGGATGATGTATAAAATAAAAAGAGTATTATGACAATTTAAAATACTGTATTATCATTCAAGGTAAGGTAGATGTAAAACTAAAAAACAATAAATATAATGTCATGAAAAGTAAAGTTATCATAGCATATAAGTGGTTAACACATAAACCGCGGCGCAGGAGTGTAATAAAGCCATGTAAAATACGATATTACACTTTGACGTGACGTCATTTGCGCTAAAACGCGCTAATGTTAGCGTATCATAATAAGCGCGTCAATGAAAAATGACTCTTTTTAACAGTTTACCGTTCTTATTTTATAATGGATAAATAGAATAGTATTTTCGTGTAGATGAACATGTAATACTAAATTTATTGAACTCGTGGAATAAAACAATATGATGTTCGCCAAAGGCTCGCATAATATTATTTTCTTCATCTCGTTCAATAAATTTAGTACTAAACCTACACTCATTCAATATCCTTTATATGTTAATGTAGACTGTTGATATGGATGCTGTATTTGTACAAATGAATGATATTACATAAAAAAATCATTATTCCGAATTGATATTAACTTAGAAACAGAAGATTTTGCAGTTTATATAATAATATCAAAAGGGTTTGGAGAGTTTATCTCTAATCTGCAGGCAGCAACTGAAATTACTATATAACCAGTGCAGACTAAAATGTTATGTATCTGAGATTCAGGCACTACTAAAATTTACAAAATTTCGTTTTACAGTTTGTGTATGAATGAAACAATATGAAAGTTTATTGATATCTTTTTTTTTAAATCAAAGTTAAATACCTGAATTAGTTCCAGCCTTTTTTGTACGATATCAGCTACATGCCTGTATTCAAATATGCTTGGTTTTAATGTTTTATGTTCACTTGTGTTTGTGTACAGTCTAAAATGAATGAAAACGAATTATTTTCTTTTTAAAAAATACACCAAAAGCGGTTTATTAAACAAAAACAGTATTGCGAATTCTAGATTATACTATTATATTTTTACATTTCTCTTATTTTACACGATTGGAAAACAGTACCGTTTGGCAATCTATAGACATCTTAATATCAAAAAAGACTTATAAAAGAGACATGCCCCACCCTCCAAAAATTGACAATACTGACATAAAAATTATGCTTCATTGCAACACCATTCTATGATGTTAGATGTCCGTTATATATGATTACTTATGGCCAAATGACTTTGTGCATGAAGGTGTTAACCCAATTTTTTTCTTGTAACGTAAGTTTAAGTAATTGAAAAACAAAGCTCATAATAATATAATCACCTTAAAATGGATAAATTTGCAAACTGTTTTAAATCTCACGAAATTTACAGTTAATTGTAATAGGGCAATAGGGAAGATGTTTTCTGTGTTTTTTTTTTATTTTTAAAAGGTCTTACTCTGTATTTTGTCCTTGATGCTGTTTGTGTGAATTGTTTCTAGTGTAATCGTATTGGTGATATTTAATATTGCAATACATTGTGCTAATTGAGATCAATACCATGAGGATTGTTCCATTGATGAACCTTCAACACAATAAACTCAACATAAAACATTGCTGTTATTCAAACAAGCCAAACGGTAAGATAATATAATAACCGCTATATAAATCTAGTGTCAAGAGGTTCTTAGGAGCTTCTGTTATTAATAATGTGTCGTGCATCATTATCAACATATGCCAAAGAGGCATGTAACTAGCAAAGTTTGGGCGTAACTGGTATTATCAAGCACATTTCAATTTTTTTAGAACATTTTAAAACGAACAATTCTTAACTACTACCTACTGTTTTCATCGTGAATGAAGAAATGTAGGTGATATTTGCTTCTATCTAATTGTAACAACATATTAATAGTGGTTGTGTTGAATAGTTGCAACATGATGATTTCATAAATGTTATCTTATTTTAGAAAGGAAATATTAAAACAAAAGTCAACTAAGTAGGCGGGGGAGCATTCAATGAATTCATCCCCGAACAAAACACAGCAACATAGGACCACCGGCAAGGAGCCCAACATGACAAATGAAACATTATTGCAATTGTTAGTGTTATTGGTTGACTGTTAAGTATCATTCGGTTCAAAACGGTTCAGATTATAACAATGCCCAAAAGAAAAGTTTAAAAAAATTCTCTTTGAAAGTTCCATTGAATGTTCTACTTAAAATGTATGAAATATATGTACGAAAAGAAATAAAATATAGAAATGTTCTATTGATAAGTAATGTTTGTTTTATCACAAAACTGAAATAGTGAAATACGTACCTTCTTTTTGTTGTGGATTCCTTTGTATTTTTCAAAATATCAAATTTATGTTTCATTTTCCAGAAACTCAGACACATGCTTATCGGAGTTGTTTTCTAAAATAATAAAACTAGTATTATAAGAGGAAGAGGTAACGATATCTTATAGAGATCGTTACCACATGTACTAAGACTTTTGTATAACTTGTTAACGGATTGCAAATAACTCCTTCATCTGTCATTCTATAACCAAGAAGCATTTATTTTTTAATGACACATTGTAGTAAATTTTTATTAATAAACTTTATGACATATTGAACTATTAAGGTATATACACGACAATCTTAAATTGTAGATACTCAGAATGATGTTGCTGGTTAAGGTTTTATTTTGTTCTGTTCACAATTTTTCTAACACATTTAAAAATTGTCTTTTTTTACGAAGAATGTTTGTATATCTGGTTTTGTGATTTCCCAATACGCAGCAAATACTTGTATGTTAGGACAATTGCAGTGTTAATGAAAGTTTTAAAGGGCAGTAATTTATTGTAGTCAGCTCCGCCTCTTGCTTCGCAATAAGTATCCAATTCAAATTGTTATTTCGAAAAAAAATAACTTTTCTGTAATATACAACTTATATTTAAACTCATTTGCTCTATTACTGTATTATTCGACTTTGTTTGCTAAGCATCTGGGCCGTAACCACCAAATATATCTACATCGAATCCATGTCTTATCTTTTTGTTTACATAAAACACCCGTTCACTGGATACTTGACAATGGCTTACATGTACAAACTAAACTGGCTTCGTTTCTTTTCTATCATAAATTGAAAGATAATCTCTTTGCAAATTCACCTGCAGACGAAAAAAGGCACCATAAGGAATTGGGATATATGTCTGTTCGAGTCTGTTATAGCAAGGCCAATTCACTGTTTTTTGACAAGACGGTAAAATACAGTCTGTGTTAATAATGATTTCAGACTAGTGGTTCTGGATTACGGACATATTTATTGATTGGAAGTTCAATCGCCATTCTTTAATATGAAAGCCAACATAACAAATTATTGCGTTTGTTAAAGGACTCTTTTTCAATCACGTGTAAAAACTCACACAGTTTGTATCGATTATAAATACTGTTTAAGCCAAATAGTAAACCCGCTCATATCAAAGTGCACCAACTGTACACCAAATGAAACCGCAGTCTCTATACACATGTTTATGAACAAATAAACAGACAAAACCTAAAACCGATATAAATTACTAAACAGGTAGTGTAATTTTTTTATAAATGTTACACTCTTGCACAAAAGTTATATCTTAATTCACCATTTCTTTTTTTTAGATTTTCTTCCTGGCCAAAAACTAATACTATGAAAAGTAATTCCAGATAGAGACTATGTTTGATTAAATTCAGTTTCGAATATACCGTTATCATGAACATGTCGAAATTGAATAACGCATTTTTATAGTAGTACAACCAAAGATAGATATTGACAATGCTACGAGCGAACAGTGTTCAGATTTTTCGTATAGAGCCTACACAATTTCTGAACAAATTAGACTGAATTAGAAATCTTAAGAATTGCTCTTAAATTTGTAAGGTAAGGAATATACAGTATACTGTTCATTTTTACTATGATTATGTACGTTACAAATGAAAAAATAAAAAGTTTAAAATAATTCCCATTCACTTCGTGAAATCAAACGTAAAACATATCATCTGTTTTTATGCTTTTAAATCTACTCCACGATAACGTAGGCAGATATCTGTTTAAATAAAGTATATTCCAGATTAGTTTGATGATGTTTTATTCCATATAATTTTTAAATATACATCAGTTATTTTTTATCAGTTTGGCAACATTATCCTGGGCCTTTCCCTGTAAATGTTTAACATCATAGAGTCGGCAATTAAATAAATATAGAAAAAAAGAAATGATTTGATTAAAAGTACGAGTAATGATAATAAAATTAGAATATTTTAAAGACAAAATCCATAATGTTTGTAACGGTAGGATACTTCTTAGGGCGCACTTAAACTACGGAGCCCCTCAGGTGACATTTTTCCCCCGGAACTTAATTCGTTTTTTACGAAATAATAATTCGTAATTACGAAATAATTATTCGTTTTTACGAAATATTAATTCGTTATTACGAAATATTAATTCGTTTTTACGAAATATTAATTCGTTTTTACGAAATATCAATTCGTTTTTACGAAATATTAATTCGTAATTAGGAAATGTTATTTCGTAATTACGAAATATTAATTCGTAATTATGAAATATTAATTCGCTTTTACGAAATATTATTTACCTTAGAACGTTCCTTTACCTTTAGTCACACGTCTTGTGCGCTTGAAGACCGTTCTACGGTCGTTGTCAGATCGTCTGAGAGTCGCCAGTGAGTCGTTCACTGCAAAGCAAACGATTAGTAACAACCAAGTAGCGATTGAGTAACGGCTGACTACCGATAGACGAACGTGTGCAATGCTCAGTGAAAGTTAGCAAAACGTTCCATGAACGTTCTTACAAGTTCTTTAGCGTTTGAAATTTAAACGTTGAAGAACGCTGGTCTGAGTGAGAACTGTTGTGCATGTTCAAAACTTTTTTCCGGACCAGCGTTCTACACCGATTCCTGGCGATAACAGACGTTCACTGGCGTTCACACAACGTTATTCTGGCGCTATTCTAGCAACCATGGACAACTTTCTAGATTTTTATACTTCACAATAGCAGGTGTCAAGTGCTGTGTGGCAGCTGTAAAAAGTTGCCCCGTACTTCACTTCAGTGTTGTTATATTTTTCTGGTCCTTCGGGATCATTGATGCCAACACTATTAAGTGTTGAGAATTGAGTACCGCTCAAGCCGGTGCTAGGGGCTTGAGGGATGTTGCACGTATTCATTACCCCTCATGTACAGACTCAATCAAACCGAGTCTGCAATTCACTTGTAATTTTGTTGTGATTAATGCTTCCGAGGGATAACTTTGTTTCCAGATTTTTTACAACGTTTCCAAAAAACGCCATAGAACGCTGACCAGTTCGTAATGGTGTGACGGCCCCATTAGGCTTCAAGACCACATTGGAGATCCTTTAAAGTCCTGTTCAATTAATCTTAGACTGGCTTTTCCCAACCAACATTCATATTTTAATTTCTTCATTTATAATGTCAACATAACAGTTACGTGTGTTATGGTCATTAAATCGATACCACCATATTTAAATATTTTAACTTTATATGTCAATGTTGATTTTATCTATTTATTTATTAATCCGTTCATCGATCAATGCACCTATAATAGGTTTTAGGGGTCATGCATGTATAACGGTTCAAGAACAAAACAGTACAATGTATACTCATTATGTAAAATAAAATGGGGAATCATTACGTAGTAAGAGAATAACAAGCGAAGGTCCTCAATGCAACAAGGAAATAACCAAATAAAACGCACCTTAGACATTGAGTATAATTGACACCATCAATCATTTTTTTCCATCACTCCATCATGTTGAATCCTTCAGTATTCAGGGCATATACAACAGTTTGAAGAATCAAAGAGAGTAAAAGAACAAGAATAAAGATCAACAAGGCAAAGGCAACATTCACAGGACGCTGCCCCCCGACACACTCAAGTAGGGCACCCAGAAGGCACCAAACAGAAACCCGGAGTGGACAAAAGGGTGAAAGGAGTGGGACATGTAATGTGAAATAATATAAACTAAAACGGGCCCATATGGGAATTTAAGGGATAAGGTCTGTAAGGGTGAAAAGGGGGTTGGGGGGTAAAAATCGGAGAGGGGGGATTGAGAAAACACCTACCGTCAACGACAATCCAACAAGACAGACATCACAAAACATGTAAACATCGAAAGCAAGGAACAATACAGACATGAAAAACACGTGAAGGAACACAGAAGGAGTACTGCCTTGGAACGGTCAGTAGTAGTTAAACCACTGGGGAGTTTAAACCGGTTTTAGGCGCGCCAAACCTCAATTTAGCCCCAATATGTTCCTGAATGACACGAAAATGTATATAAAATTAATCCCCGCCAAATGAAATTCTAACAATGGTCATGGTTGCATTAGACGAAATATATAAAACAGGTAAAAATTGTGTAAATATGTAGAAAAAGGTACAGTCTTATGACCATAACCAAAGTACTCGATGCCTTAAAGGAAAGCAGAGCAACAAGAAAATCACACAAAATATGACGAAGCAAGACAGAAGACGAACATTAAGGCAATTCAGTCCCAAAGGGCTTTAAGAACTATCCATCGTAGAGTCTCCCACTTAGTCCGTCAGATGTAATTAAAAGAGGAAGGCGTAGCGTCCAACTGTAAAGGGGTTGAACACCAAGCATGCGGTATGCCTTAAAATAATTGGGTCATAACCTCTTTTAATAAACCGTTTGATAATTTTAGTGAAATTACTATGACCCATGATCCTACGAAGTTTGTAAACCACATCTCCATAGAAGTCAGGCCTGCTAATACCTAGTCGTAAAAGAGTTTTTAAATAACAATTGAATTTTAAAACTAAGTCTGAATTACGATGGTAAAACTTTGTAAAATATTTACGCAATTTATGATAGCGATAACCTTGTTTAAGAAGTTTGTTAGTAATAAATAAATTGCGTTCATTAAAATCATCAACACGACTGCACGCCTTAGCAAATCTAATTAATTGAGAAATATACACCCCATATGATGTAGCATGAGGAACATCTCCGTCTAAATGTGGATAGTTCACAATGTTAAAATCAAAATCATCTCTTTTATCGTAGATTTTAGTTACTATAGCACCGTCAATGATAGAAATGTTTAAATCCAAAAAAGAAGCAATAACGTCTGAAGTGTTAGTTTTATTCAATTTAAGTTCACTGGGATATATTTTAGAAACCAATTGATCGAAATAAGGATTATTAATGTTAAGAATATCACCTAGGTAGCGGAAAGTGTTGTTAAATGCATGTATAATTTCCTGATGTGAAGTAGGAGAAAGACTTAACATAAAATCCCTCTCATAGCAGTAAAGAAATAAATCAGCTATCAGGGGGGCACAATTAGTTCCCATAGGAATGCCTATTATCTGTTTGAAAACTGTATTACCAAACATGACATAAATGTTGTCTAATAAAAAAGAAAGTGCTTTACAAACTTCGTCACAGGTCCACATTGTATATTGTTTAATGATACCATTGTAGAAAGCCTTCTTTGAATTGCATGCAAGAAACGTGACCTGTTCTCTTGCAAATGTTTTTTTGAATTAAAGATAATAATTTATCATTTATAAGATTATGTGGCAATGTAGTATATAGGGTAGAGAAATCGTAAGTACTTACAGATGAAGCTTGATAATTCTTAACTTTAAACTTATCTAAAATTTCAGTTGAATTTTTAACAGACCAAAAAAGCCCGTATTTTCATAAACTGTTTCACAGTATCTAATCACATGTGTCTTGATGGCAGTAAGACAAGAAGTCAATAAAATAGAAAGATTACTGGTAGTACAAGATGTAGAATTAGCAATAAAGCGGGCTTTATATGGATGTTTATGTAATTTAGGAATCCAGTACATGATAGGAAGTTTAAGCTCTTTCTCATCAACACGTACTTTAAAGTTAGAAATACTAGAAATATGACTGTTCACAATATCTGTTTCAGAAAGAACGGTTTTAGAATAAGCATTAGTGCTGTTAAGTTCATTTTGTAAAACATTTATATAATGAATACGTCATACGATAATTATGTTATTGGCCGCCTTGTCAGCCGGAACTAAAACAAATTTAGAGTGGAACGCTAATATATCCTTTCTAAGATGCCGTAAAGTAAGTCTAGGTTTAGGTGGTAAAAGATGTTCATTCCCACGATAAAATTCGATGCGTGATTCAATAATATTAAATATATTATGTTTCCATGTATTAAGTGCATTACTATCAGCATTTTCGCGACGCCACCATTTTACTGAAAAGCCCTCGATCGATTCAGCTATCTGACTTCGACAAGCATTAAAATCAATATCGGAAGGAATTCTATATTAAGGTCCTTTTAGAAATAAACTACGGATTCTCTTGTCGTTTATTATATCAAAACACCAGTGATAATATGGCCAAAATCCAAGTTACAGAATGTAGAATTGTTGCAGTCTCAACTAGTTGGTGTATTAGACTCAACGTCTAGGTCGCAGACAATTTTGTTATTATTGAATATGATATTTCTGACAGGTGTTTTATATTTATAGCAAATAATTGGAATTTTTGAAATATTTAGGAATCGCGTCGGTAACGCGTTTATCACGAAAAATACTAGGTCAATACCTTTGTTTAGAAAAGTAATTTAAAAAAGTCCTGTCTTTGTTCGCGGGTGTCGATATGGGGTTTTTAAATATTTTGTTTTAACTTTTTTTAAAAGGTGGGCCTCCCAGTATAAAAAAGGATCAGTTTGGATAATTTTTTGTTATCACTTCTTGGGTCAAAATTTTTAAAAGAGCCCAAAGAGAAAGAGGGGTTTTAGACGTAAAAACATTTTTCCCCCAAATTAGTCAAGATTTAATTTAAAAATTGGGAAAACGACAAAAGGGGGGACTTCGTTTAAACTAATTTTTGGGGGTTTTCCTTTTAGTCTAACAAAATCAGGGGCCAAATTT